GCTGTCCAGTACTCCCAGGTTTTCCAGTGATTCTTTAACTGATGTCAGCTCATGCTGAAATCCTCGATGCAATCAAACAAAATCTCTACAAAACCAATACTTGAAAATTAATCTGATGCTCAATAGCGACTGGCCCTATTCAGGTAGTTAACCTGGGGTTCTAGTGGGAAGCCGTGACTAGTAGGGTACAGCAGGTTGAAGATAAGGCAGCAACTCACCTAAGAAGACATTGCGAAATGGTCGCGTTATGTCATGAATTGGCAGAAGTTAGAATTCAAGGACCATTGGATTGGGTCCCAGTGGCTCATTGGTCTACGAGCTACCTCGCCTTGTAACCAGAAGGTCCTGTGTTCGAAGCCCGATGGGTGCGTATCAGTGAAGAGTCCCAAACGAGGACGAAACAGCTTTCCAGTACTTCCAGGTTTTCCAAAGGTTCTCTGACTGATGTCAGCTCATGATTGAATCCTCCATGAAATAAATAGATGTCAAGAAACACACTTGATATAAATGACCAGCGTTATTTGGGTGACATTTGAAAATTATACAGTTCTAGGTGAGATCCACCTGTTTCATACTGTGAGTGACAGTCGAAAAACTATGCGTAGTGGTAATACTCTATGTACTACTGATGAGTCGACATGAGTGGTTGGAGATCATTAACACCAACCATGAGTGCTTGTTGGCCAGAATGAAATGATTTAAAAACACTTGATGGCCGTTCCGCTGGTTTGAGGTGAGGCTCATCAGTGATATACCGAGTGTGATTCAACTCAGAGAACAAAATGAGGTTGAATTTCCAGTAGAAAATAAAGTTTATTAGCCTCATATCAAACTTTCACATTTTTTCAGACTTACTATCGATTAATTCCATTTCGGGTAAAATTTATTTTGATAAAGTCTCACAATGTTATACAGTGCAGTAATATTTGCTGATGATCACGTTTCGAGCACAATTTATTATTGCTGCTCATAATCATATCAAGGTACTCACATAACTTTCTAAATTCGTTTACATAATTCCATTATTTTCCGTCGCTTGAACTGATTAGTAGTAATATCCTCCATATCTCTGGTATTTGTACTCAGTCATTCCTATTGCACGTGTTGGGTGTAGACTCAATGAACAAGGCAGGATTCAGTAATCAGTCTCCCTCGCTCTCCACCTACATATATTACTTCTTAGAATTTTAACCCTCTCCCTCCCTATTGTGTGGTTGTGTGTTAATGCATGCAATGCAATTGCTGAGCTTTTATCTGAATTGCTTATCTTCTCGAGGTCAACCATTCTTACCTTAGCTAAATTCTTATGTTTCGACAGTCTGATAACCCCCGACCTACTAGTTTGACCTATGTAGTTGACTTAACTCACAATCATTGCAGGGTATTTTGTAAATTATAATATTTTGTCTAATTGGTTCCACCGGGTCTTTTAACCTACAGAGCTTGTCCTACCTGAGTGAGTTTTTCTTTGTTAAGAATCCTACGTAGAGTCTCAGATATCCCCTCCTTATATGGTGAAGCTACTGTAGATGCCTTACATCTTCTCTTATTTATGTTATTATTAGTTTCACCATTATTTTTATTTTGCTTTTGACTCCTTTTGATATTCCTGATGAATTTCATAGGATAGTTATTTGATAGTTATTTTACTATCGCTTAGTAAACTATGAGTTCATTGACTGGGAATCAAACCTTGAGCATGAGCGTGGTTGGCAAACATCCTGTCATTGAATCACTAACTGACGAATTTTGGCTAGCTACTTGACAATAATTAGAATCAAGGCCGTCATTTGTAAATTACACATTTCGAGGTAACAAATGTTTTTAATTCAACTAGAAATCTCTACTATTTGACGTGGGTAGTCTACATCTACTTATATCGATGAATCAGTAGTATATAGAATCATGATTTTCTATTACTTTGGCTTTCAGTAATCAAATCCTTAGCGTAAATTTCCTTAGACTGTTTATGAGAAGAAAACTAAGGGAACTTTATATTCATACAATGTGGATAGAAGCACTTTCACCTATTGATATAAGGATTAAACCTTGGCACTGTGGTGGTAAAGTATAATTCCATTGTGGAGAAAATTTTATTTTGATAAAATCACACAGCGTTTGTGATATAATAGTATCAACTGATGACCACAATTTGAGCACAAATTATTATTGTTACTCATAGTCATACCAAGGCAATACTCACACAACTTTCTTGCTTCATTTATATACATGAGTGGAATTGATGATTAGACATTTGAATAAAAATCAGTATACACAATAAAACCAATCCTCATCATATTATATTTATTAATAACGCTAATATTATTTCCGAATGTACTTTATCTTCTTTTCTGTTTCATGCATGACTTTTACTGATTTTAGTAATAAGTCGAATCAGTAATTACTCATGTACATAAACAAAGGAAGTAAGTCATGTGAGTACCTTGATATGATTATGAGTCCTAGTTTGGGAATCATCGGCAGTACGCACCCACTACCATTGGGTTCGAAACCAGGACCTTCCGGTTACAAGGCAAGCTCGTTTATCATTCAGTCACTGGAAGCCGATGCAATGGTCAACACATGAATTATAACTTCTACCAATTCTTGATTTAGCACGACCGTCAACCAGCATCGTCGGTGGAAAATCCATCCTGACCTTTGACTGGTTGGGCCTCACTGGTCACGACTTCTCACTAGAACTCCAGAAAACTACGTCCTGTAGCAAGTTACTAGTGAGCATCAGACTAATTTTCATGAGTTGGTTTGTAAGAATTAGATTTGTTTTCACGAGTTCAACCAACTCTGCCGATGATCCCCAAACTGGGATGAAACAGCTGTCCAGTACTCCACGCTGGTTTTCAATTGTTCTCTAACTGATATCAATCCGTTTGTCAAACTCGTAAAAACAAATTTAATCCTTACAAACCAACTCTTGAAAATGATTTTGAGTGGCAATAATTTGTCTTTGGAATGTGGTCATCAGTAAATATTACTGTATAATACTATGTGACCTTATCAAAATAAAATTTTATCCGTAATCGAATCGTACTTTCACTTAAATTATAGTGAAATCTAGTTGAATCACCAGCCGATCATCCAGCCAAGGGTTATTCACCAATACGTCTTATCATTTGGTGGATACTGACTAGCTGTGGAATCCAAGTCGCACATTTCGTCCTATTCGGGACTCTTTAGTGGGAACAGCACCACTCAATGGGGAATTCAGCTACATCTCTAGTTAGCTGAAAAGTTCTATTCATTGTCAGATCAAATACATAAGTCAGAGTAGTAGAATGTGTTCAGTCAGAATAATGGATCTTTAAAAAACCTGTCAAAATCTAAATTAATTCATCTTAATACTATAGGAAATTTGGAGTACAGCTCAGCTGTAGCACTACATTCAGTTGCACAAAACCATACAATAGGATGACAGACTTAAAATCTAATATAATAGGGTGGAATGAGATATTGATTGTGGAAGCTTTATTTATCGAATCAACTGCTAATATGTGCAATAGGAATGATTCTAAACTTCTCTTAGACACCACGAAAAATCTACTATCCCTACGATGAATAGAAAGAAATGCAGAAAAGCCTTACTAAGGTGCCTCTTCAGTAGAATCCAACGAATATGCACTGAAGACACAATTGATGAAGAAGAAAGAAAGTTGACACACACTCTGGTTGATAACAATTAACCAGATATGTTCATCAGGAGATATAAAGTAGTCAGTGGAACACCAAGACCCTCTCTCCGACTCGCCCCTAAGAAAGACGTGTACATCAAGCTACCCTATATGGGGCATCAAAGCAGCTTGATAGCTAGACAAAGATTGAACGTTGCTGTCAAAAAGACTTTTTACACAGCTTATATCATAATAATTGAGAATGTGAAGCCTATGTATCTATCTAAGCCCTTCGAACATGCGAAAAATGACGTCACATCCCACTGTATTTACCAATTCAAATGTACGTGTGGACACACATGCATCGGGAGAACTCATTTATCTCTGCAAGTGAGGGCTGGCTTCAGAGCATATTCCTAAATGGATCCAGAACCAAATAGAATCTTCAGAACCAATTAATGGTGACAACAGGAGATCTAGCTCCTCTGTTGAGAAACACATTGTAGATGGGACAGAACATACAAATGATGTTTACACGTCTTTTAAACGTATCCATCCATGAAACGTGTTTGGGGAGTATCCTAAAGTTTGTGGATTCCCTAGCTGGCAATTAGGAAGTTTAAACCATCATTATGCGTTCAAAAACAATTCGTCATCACATTAAACCACCTTCCTTGGTAAACTTTATTTTGATACCTCTGTTATTTGGTTTAGTGATCTTCATCGTTATTTTGACCTTCACTGTGTCCTTTTAACTTGACCTAACTTGTCTATTTTCTCACCTCTTAACTCTTTATTAATTTCATATACATTCATTCCTATGACAGGTCCTTGTGTGATCAGATTGTTCGAAATGTGTTGCGCAAATAGACTGTACGATTGAGAGAAATTACGTTTTCTTATTGCTTTGTCTATAACATGGAAGTTTTGAAGCTGTGTAATTGTATTTGGCATGATTATGAACAATAAATTGTGTTCGAAAAGTCATCCAGAATCCCTCCAAAAAATCATGGAGTCAGTTTTAATAATGGGTTAGTATATTCATGAATGTGAGTTTTACGTTCAACGGTAGAATGGTTGCCAGTCACGCAAATGCTCCAGGTCCGGTTCGCGGCTGACGAACTCCTAAACCTTGGTTAGCCGGTAGTAAATCCAGTAAAAGCAGTAGGTTGGTACTGAGGGTATCAACCCCCCCCCGTTTCGTATAAAACAACGCCATGGCTACTGATACTTCAAACATCAAGCTTGAAGGCCCAAGTTCCAGACGGAAGCCAAAGGAATAAAGAAAAATCCATTCATAATACTTGGTCAGATACTTAATAAAAATGGCGAAAAATTAATAATATTTTAATTGTTTCTAACATTACATTGCTAAACTCTAACAGCTAATCGTGTCATTCCAGCCTTGGAATTTGTCGAGGATAAAACTGGTTAAAAATGCCTATTAAAATTTTTAAAAGGAATGGTTACTGAACAAAGAATATTCACATTTTCGATAACCTGCTTTTCTTCCTCAGGTTCTACAGTTATTTATCCATCCATAATAGTGAGTGAATGAATGAATTAGTGTTATGAACAACAACATTAATGTTGTTTAAATAACATCAAATCAATAATCATACTAATGGACTACAGTTCAATAGCATCAACATAACAATACACACTTAATGTCAGACAGAGAAATTAGGAAAGATAATAGTAAAAATTCATGAATTTATAGTCTCCAATGAAGGCCGATCTGGGCAGTAGTAGTGGCTGGCTAAACTTACTTTTTTTGCACACAAAGTATTGATTATTTTACGCGAATCGTGATATCCTCTTCTGTTTGCAGTATGTGGTGCCTGGATGTTTATCGGCAATTTATTTGGCACCCGACAGATGATAGTGGAGGATTCTTCAATGCTAGCTAGCTCTGTGGCCGGTTTGGATAAGGTGGTCTAATATCCGACTGTTAATAATGGTTTTCACTACAGCTTTATTTAACCGTACAGGTAGATGTTCTCGAGCAAGCACGAAAAATCAAGTTCCTAGGGCAACGGTCAATGACCAGAAAATGGACCCGTAAAACATCTCATCAAAGAATTCCTAATTTATTGTCGGTATATGGACGACATCTTTATTGTTTGTGATAATGATTCGGATAGGAACACAATAATAACTCAATTTAGTGAAGTATATTCTGCTTTAAAATCCATGTGCGAAGAGGAATCCCAAAATAGAATTAATTGCCTTCCTAGATATCCTATTTAAAAGAAAACCAGATGGCAGTACAAAGAAAAATTTGCACAGGAAAGGCGCATGGACAGGACAATATACACATTTTCACAGCTTCGTTCCTCTCAAGTACAAAAGAAATTTAGTAAGGACCCTCAGCCACAGGGTTAGAGCTATACGCTCAGAAGAAGTAACTGAAGATGAACTAGGGACTGTATATGATACCTCGATTGAAAATAGCTATCCCGACAAATTCATCAGGAGACATATGACTAAGAAAGTAGAAAAGGACTATTCACTATTTGCTAACAAGAAGCCTTTATACATACGACTGCAATTCAAGGGCGATATGCCTAGCGAGATAATTACGAAGAAGTTAAGAAAATCAGTTTCAAGAACTTGTAATGCTGGTAAACTAAAAGTAATGTTTTCTACACGACCGATGGTGATTCCTCAATTGAAAAATTAAGTACCTAAACTAGCCACTTCTAACTGTGCCGACCAATTCAACTGCGCCTGTGGTGGAACAATTTGTATTGGCTGTTGCTCTGGGAACTTGATTTTTCTTGCTCACTAGGGAACATCTACCTGTTTGGTTAAATAAAGATGTAGTGAAAACCATTATCAACAGTTCCATATTAGACCACCTCGTCCAAACTGGCCACAGAGCTAGCTAGTATTGAAGAATCCTTCTCTATCATCATCTACCGGGTACCAAATAAATTGCTAAAAACATCGAGATACCGTATGCTCCAAACACCAGAGGCTATCGCGATTCGCGTAAAACAACCGGGCGCTCTGTGTGCAGAAGAAGCAAGTTCACCCAGTCACTTCTACTGTCCTGGCCGGCCTTCAGTGGAGACTACGAATTCATTGATTTGTATTATTATTTCTCCTAATTTCTCTGTCTGACATTAAGTGTGTATTGTTATGTTGATGCTATCGAACTGTAATCCATTGATATTATTATTGATTCGATGTTATTTAAACAACATTAATGTTGTTGTTCATAACACTAATTCATTCATTCACTCACTATTATGGATGGATAAATAACTGTGGAACCTGATGATGAAGAAGAGGTTATCGAAAATGTGAATATTCTTTGTTCAGTAACCATTCTTTTGAATAAAACTTTCACCACAATACCTTTTGTTGTTGTACTTGGACCAGACCACAATTGTATATTTGAATGATTCTCAACAGATCCATTCGATAGAATTTTTGATTTTGTATAGGTTTTAGAACGTATGCATGAGGCATCTTCTTTTGTTGATTGATTTTCTGTTGAAATCTTGTCAATTGATAAAATAGAAGAATTTGATCTACTTATACTCGGTGTAATATTGTTCAATGTTAAATGATCAATCTTTGGTGACCTTGAAGTATAATAAATAAAAAATGTTGTGATGATTAATATAAATGAGTTCTATTTCAAATATACTGTATTCTAAAAGGATTCAAATTATAAGAGTACAGCATTGAGTTCAAGGGACCAAGAGTATTTGGTATTATGTTGTGTAGTTATTATGTATTGTTAATTTCTGGTATTCTGATTTGAAGATATGGCTACAGTTGAACATCTTCATCGGACTTAGTTCCCGGACATGATCATCAACTGACTTTGATATAAGGATAAAACTTGGGTACTGTGGTAGAGTATAATTCCATTATGGATAAAATTTTATTTTGATTAAAACACACAGTGTTGCTATACTACAGTAATATTAACTGATAACCACGTTTCGAGCACAATTTATTACTGCTCATAATCATATCAAGGCACCACTCACACAACTTTCTTGCTTCATTTATATACATGAGTGGAATTGATGATTAGACATTTGAATAAAAATCAATATAGGATAAAGTGCATTCAGAAATAATAATATTAGTGTTATCAATCAATTACAATCAGATGGGAATTAAGACGAGTGTTTTTATAGTGACAATATGTAACTTGTTAGAATGTTGTGATGTGTGTGAATTGAAATAGAATTTTGAGATTATTTATTATCCCCTTCTGATTTGGGGTAATAATATCTTCCACATCTGTGGTATTTGCATTAAGTCATTTCCTTTGCATGTGTTGGGTGTGTAGATTCGATGAACCAGGATCCAGTAATCAGTCTCTCTCACTCTCCACCTACCTATATTCCACTCACCCTATTGTGTGATTGTGCGTTAATGCATGCAATGCAATGTAGTGCTGAGCTTTTTTCTAAGTCACTTATCTTCGTGGGATCAACCATTCTAATTTTTCAATTGAATTTTAGATTTTCCGGTCGATTGATTGGACCAAAGTGCTCGGTCTCATGTGCATCCAGTTGACGAGTCCCAAATAGGACGAAATGCGCATCCTGGATTCCACTGCTAGTTACCATCCACAAATCAAATTAAATTCAACCATTCTAACCTTAGCTAAATTCTTATATTCTGACAGTCTGACTACCCTAACTATATTAGTGTTGTAGACGGTAACTGACGTCAGTGTTTATGTCCCCAATATTGGTGGTGAGAAAATGAGAACAAAGGCTTTGCGTAGGCGGATGCAGTTAGCATATGGATGATCTGACACAGCCACAAAGAGATGCAAGGTTAATTTTCTGTGAGGAACAACCAATCAAAAGACTGCATTTTCTACTAACATTAACCTACAATAATGTACATCAAAATCTATAAATATGTGTTGATTTTCCTTAATAAACGATCTGTTGCCTGGCCCTTGTCTTCTGTTGTTACAGTGTGACCTATGTTGATCTCACTGACAGTCATTGTAAGGTATTTTGAAAGTTACATTATTTTATTTTATTGCCTTAACCTATACAGCTTGTCCCTGAGTGAGTTACTAGGTTTAAATGTCACCCTAATTCGTGCTTTATTAAGAATAATACGTAGGGCCTCAGATGTCCCACCTTATATGGTGAATCTGTAGATGACTTAAATACTTTCTTATTTATATCATCGTTATAAATTTTCACCACTGTTTTTATTTTGCTTTTGTCCTTTTCAGATATTCCTAATGAATTTTATAAGATAGTCATTTAACACCAACGCTTCTCATTCTTCTATCTGTTTCATTTCATCATTTAGGTCTTTTTTTGTGCTACTTAGTGCCATTGCTCTGTTTGTTAGAGGTTTAACTAAGCCTGCCTTTACACATAACTTCATCATTCATTTTTACTGTATAACACTGTGTGACTTTATCAAAGTAAATTTTATCCATAATGGAATTCAGCTGACTTTATGATTGCATAAAAGCAGTTAATCCTTCTTTGCACAATCTTCTCTATGTCACTCCCAAACACAGCTTCGCGCTTCCCATTTCAGATTCTACTCAAGAACCTTGTGTTTTGTCATTCGAAAATGTATCGCCTCAGAGGATATCCAATTATTATTGCCCAAAGTATTTTATAATTTTTCTGTCCTTTTTTTAATTCCTTCACGTTCCCAGTGGAACATAGGGCTTCAAGCTAGAGGCTCGAAGTTTCTGTAGCGCTGTTTATTTTCACGGGATGGGGTTGCTAGACTCATGTCCAACCTTTCCTCTTTACCAGCTTTTTTATTACTGGCGTAGTGAGGTGAAGGAGTGCGTCGGTCGGGGTTCGAACCCCGGACCATGTGCATGGTGGGCGAGCGTCCTAACCGCTATGCCACCGACGCACATTTTTCTGACTACTTCGTCTTTAATTATCTGTTATCACTGTCCTAATCGTTTTATTTCTCTGTAATAATCAATTTAAACACTCGCTGATTCCCCCATTACTCTTCATTTTTCTGAAATTATGCGTTATGCAATCCACTTGTTGTAATCATTTCTACTTCTTAATTGTGTGTATTAATTTTCGATAAAGAAAGGAAGACGAAATTTGTAGTATAAAATGATATCATCATTCTATTTCACAGGTTCTCATCATCTGCGGACTACCTGATATCATTTGATACTGCAAATTTCATCTTCCTTTCTTTATCGAAATTTACCAAGGGAACCAAACATATGTATTAATTTTCTTCGTTAATTATTACCCCACCGTTTGACATGTTGACACTGGCTTATTATTGTTAGCAAACATATCACTGCAACTTGATTGGTAAATTGTTGTGTATTGTAATAAAAATGCTATACGTGTATATTCGAGTAGAGCCAGAGTAAGATGAGTGTCTAATTGAAATGTAAATATTTCTTTGCCCAATCCTTTTTATTTATTATATTACTATATTCCTTTATGTTTCCAGTGGAACATGGGGTGTTTCAAGCAAGAGCTTTGAAGTTCCAGTAGCAGTGATGTTTATTTTTACGAGATGGGGCTGTTAGTCTCATACCCAACCTTCTCCCTTTATCAGTCTTATTACTAGTTTAGCGAGGTAGAGGAGTGCTTCGGTGATCGGGGATTGAACGCTGAACCACATGAGGCGTGGTCGGCGAGCATTCTACCGCTGTGTCACCGACGCACACTCAATCCTTTCACTTTTTAATAAAACCTCCTGAGATATTTAACGTCAGCTGAGGAAACTTCCACTTATTTGCTTATATCATTGATACAAAGCAATAAGAAGACGTAATTTGTCTGAACCCTGTAATGTGTATTTGTTTCACGCATTTCGAACAATCTGATCACACACGGACTTGTCATAGGAATGAGTATATATGAAATTAATAAAGAGTTAAGAGGTGAGAAAATAGACTTAGGTCAGTTTGAAAGGACATATTGAAGGTGAAAATAACAATTAAGACCACTAAACCAAATAAAGGAGGTAATAGTACATCTACCCTGGCTGGTATCAAAACGAAATTTACCAAGGAAGGTTTAGTGTGATTACGAATTGTTTTTGAACACAGAATGGTCGTTTAAACTTCGTGATTACCAGTTACGGCTTCCACAAACTTTAGGATACGCCATCCCCCAAACATGTTTTACAGATGGATAGGTTTAAAAGATGTGTAAACGTTAATTTTATGTCCTGCCCCATTTATAATATGCTTGTCAAAAGAGGATTTAGGCTTCCTGTTCTCACCACTAATGGGTTCTGAAGATTCCATTTGTTTCTGGAGCCATTTAGGAATATGCTTTGAAGCCAGCCCTTACTTGCAGAGATCGATGAGTTCTCGTTGTGTATATGTGTCCGCACGTACATTCAATTTGGTTAATACAGTGGGAGGTGACATCATTTTTTGCATGTTTAAAGGGGTTAGATGGATATATTGACTTCACATGCTCAATTATTATGATATTAGCTGCTTAAAAAGTCTTTTTAACAGCAGCGTTCGGTCTTTGTCTAGTTATCAATAAAACAATTTAAAAAAAGATTTCGATTTATTTTACAGTGAATTAAAACAAAAAACCAATCTATCAATATGCTCTGGCATTCAATAATCAATGGTTACTAACTTACAATAATTCGGTATCTTCTTGTTTTATTACATGTGTCGTATGAATATTCGCGTCATGCTTTTCATTCATAACTAATAAGGCATTACGTAAACGTTTAGTTTGTTCCGTCAATAAAGTAATACGGAGTTCATTGGCTTGAATTTGTCCTTCTAATTCTTCATGAACAGATTTTACACCTAATTATAGAGAGTGAAAACAGAATTTTATAAAGATAGCGCTAAAAACACTACTGTAAGTAATGACAATAATAAGAGTAATTAAAATAATAATAATAATCACTCTATTCCAAGTAGTAATGTTTCCTACAGAGTGGGATTTTCAGATGTGAACATAATGAAACGATTTGGCTTCTCTTACAAATAGAAAGATAAACACATAAAATAGTAAAATAATAATAATAATTTGCTTTATTCCAGAAACAGTACTAGTGTTACAGTGTGGAATTTTCAGCACATATCTACAATATTTGCATCTAATTTTACAAACATTTAAAAGGAGTATTTAACAAACAAACAAAATAAATCTAAAGACACCAACAGCAAACAAAAAAACAGGATAAACACAAAAATAATTATAAATGCGAAAAAGTACCAAGAAGTAGAAAGGAAAATAAACATCATATAATAATAACTCAGTATTGGCTAGTGGAAGCTATGATATGATTATGCATGGTGACAGTAAAGCTATAGTCATACAAGAAGTTATGAAATGATATTTAAGAATGTTTATCGCCAAGATGATCAGTTAATTTGGTTGAAACAACTCTAAACAATCATAAAATAACATTTCAGGGTTGTTTTGTTTTATTGTCAGGTCTAATGCAGTGTTTGTAGTGGTAGTGTGAGTAATCCTGAATAATACAAAATTTTTTAAGGTGGTGACTATGGCGTTCACAACCAATGATTGTCAGTTTAATATTGCCGAAAAGTATAGAAAATAAGAAAAACAACCACAAAACTAATAATTACATGATGGTTAATGACACGACAATTTTGTAATACTCATAGTGCTAATATAGTCGGAACCAGTGGATACACAATAGAAGGAATATAGTAAAGTACAAAAAAGGAAGCCAATGTTAATATTTCAGGTAGCTAAGTAAGTTTGAAGAAGGAGTTCACTAAAGAATACGAAATAAGAGAGAAATAAAAGAGTATGAAATTATGTTGTTAATAACAAAGCAAGTCACAGGTTTCACGCTTAACATTGTCTCTGTCGCTTAGAACACGGGCCAAGTATGGTATCGTTGAGTTCCTGTACTTGGTTGTACGAGCATAGATTCTTTTATACTGATTTCTGGTTTTACTTGATGAGATACAAGGAGAGAGTTGGGAATAGAGGGGGTGTTGGGGGTCTGAGAGTATGGTTTTAGACCATTTTTCACATGTATTCAGATGCCTATCAACTAAAGTAGTCACGAGCTGACTGAGATTAACACCACTAGTCCTACTAACTACTGTCAACATCCTTCTCAGGATGGAATAGTCCTTTTTCAGTAGACCAGGAAAGACTAACGGGGAGCAGTAAAGTAGAATAGGTAGGATACAAGAGTTGACAAATTGTGAAAGTAGAGGTTGGGTGATTCCGGATTGTCTAAGTTTCTTAATGTAGTAGGTAAGACAGAACACTTTCCTAGAAATCATTAGGATATGAGATGTCCAAGTAAGGTCAGAAGATAGAACTAGACCGAGGTATTTTGCATTAGACTTAGTTTCAGTTTTAGTCCCCTCAATGCAACAGTCTTCATGAGAACTTACTAGTGTTTGTAGATCTCGTTTATGCCTAAGGGAGAAGTCGACAGTCTGGCATTTTGAGGGATTCAGCATGAGACCATTTAGTTTGGACCACTCATTGATGTCCGACAGGAAGCTATTTAATTTGAGACAGTCTGACTGAGACTTGATGGAAAACGATACAGACAGGTCATCTGCATATTTGACGAAGTTGACTTCATCTGAGAGAGGTAAATCATGTAAGAAGAAGGAAAAGAGAAACGGAGAAAGAACAGCACCCTAAGAAACTCCAGCTTCAGTAAGCAATGGAGAGGAAGATGCACCATTATATACCGTGTACTGCATCCTATTAGAGAAGTAAGAGTGCAGCCAGTTGATAACCCAGGGCTCAGTTTGTGCTAGGCTAAGCTTGTTTAACAATAGGCCTCTAGGTACAGAGTCGAAAGCAGATGTATAGTCAAGGAACGTACAACGGACAAACTTGGCCCCTTTGTCTGAAGAGGATACAATGTTGTGATGAAACACAGCAGCAGCATCCAAAGTACTTTTACCCTGTTTGTAAGCAAACTGCTTTGGATCGTTTGAGAAGCTTAGGGAGGGAACAAACTTAAACAATTGAAACCAATGAGTAAGACAAGGCTGCCTACCTGTTATCACCCACGATGATATTCTTAATTGTGGTGGACTGGGTTATGACGAAGACAGTGTATGAGGAGTGAGAAGTCAGGAATACTCTGGACTGACCGATAGGAAAACTCTACAATATATGGATTTCGTGTGTGGATGATTTATGTTTAATATCACACAGACTGGAAGACTTGCAGGAGAGAACCACCAAGCTAGCGGAAGAAACTGGCAGGCAGCGAAGACAAGGCTCCATGTGAACATAGAGAAGACGGGGGTGATGAAGATAACCAACCAATCAACTACGCACCAACAACAACAACAACAACCAGCCCCAATCACCATTAACGTGAGACATTTGACAGAGGTTTCTTCCTTAACTTATTTGGCCAGGAAGCACAGTGTCAGCCGCAGACAGTCGGACAGCACGGATAAAGATGTCAACAACAAAAACAGAATCGGAAAGGCAGTATACATCTTCACCGAAATGAAATCAGTTCGGAAATCTTCTTCACTCCGCTTCAGCATAAAGAACAAGATTCAGATTTTCAGCACAAATTTGAAGTCAGTCATTAAGTTCTTCTAAAAAGACTTCTAACAAGTTACAGATTTTTATCAGCAGGTGCCACCTTCGCTGACTGGCTCCATACTGAAGATCAAATGGTCCACTGGTCGGCCAGAAAGAATTAGTAACAAGAAACTCTGGCCGGCAAAAAACCAACTGAGCAAGAGCTGATTGCTCAACAAATATGTAGGAGAAAATGGAGATGGGTTGAATGGGCATACGTTGAGGGGGCCGTTGAATGGCATCGCGCGGAATACAGGTCATCGCTCGAGTGGAATCCCAGTGGGAAGTGACGAGTGGGTTGTCATTGTGAGGGTGATATGGAGGAGGTTGTGTGAAGAGGATGAGGAGATGAGAGATTGTGGGCAATCGTGGACCCAGCTGTAGAGGACAGTAGGAAATAGATGTGTTGTTGAAGCCTGAAGGGAATAATAATAATAATAATGAATAACTGGTGAATTTGTAGAACTTTTAAGAGTAAGGGACATATTTCATGTTTCTGGAGTAGGATAGGAAGCATAACTGAGTAGTATAGTAGATAATACACAATCATATGTTTTATTCATATTATAAGTGGAAAAATACAGCGAACGCTATAAAAGTATCTCCTTCAAGCTCCTTTGAAGTATCATCCAGTTTTGTTTTGTTTATTTGAATGCTTGGAATAGAATAGGTTAGTTAAAGAATGGTAAGCAGAGATACTTTAATTTTCTTGACAGTCTAAAATTAAAACAGAACTGTGAAATATCTTCAAATTTTTACTTTCTGAATCTTCGGCTGATTGATTACGACAGACCGAAATTCTGGATCTCAATCCACATGTCGACTCCTAAGCAGTATAGACTCCTCAAAAAGAAGCGGAGGTTAACACGATACCGTTCCGATTGATAGTGGCTAAAAGTGGAATCCAGGATGCGCGTTCCCTCCTATTTCGGAACCCATCATCTGGTCAGGCGGCCCAATGAAAAACGATCTGACTTTTGAAATGATAGGCAGGGGATTCGAGTCTCACGTAAGTCCGGCTTAAGGGTCCAAAAATGGAGTGAAAAACAGCCTCTTGATTCCAGTAGGGACGCGGACATAAGTCACTAGTAATTGAACTCATCGCGCCTTTGTCTCAATATACTTGTACAGGCAGGATGCAGACGGTCACTTATGACTTGAATTTCATCAGATAGCTGATTTTGTATTACTCACCCACAGGAATGCTATAATTGTGTCAGATGTTACGTTTGACCGTTTTAAAAGTGTTATATCAACTTTTTTTACACAGTCCTGATGTCTGCTTACACTACACACAGAAACACATCTTGTTAGCCTTTATCCTCATCCTTACAGTACTAACTGAAATCATCCAAAAGAAACTACTAAATGTTTCTTCAGCAATGAATTAGTGACAGTGGGTGAAGACTTAACGAAGACATGCAAGTATGACTCGTGATTTTAAACTAAGCGCCGATGGATTATTGATCAATTAAAACAGACTGTGGTAACAGCAAATTTCTTTAACACATCGCAACCTCTAACTGTTGGTTCAAATATATTGATTTCTTATGTACCTAATCTTCAATATTTTGAATTCACAGTTATTTCTGTAAACTTCTGGCTGAACATATGAAAGTAATTACATCACTGCATTTTAAACTTACAACTTTCATTTTCAAACACAATTGGTCCATTCAAATCAGGATATTGAGCCATATGTAACAGATCTTCATTCAATTTATTCAACTTTTGACATAATTCATTATTTTCCGATTTCGCTTGTTCAAGATTCATTTGAATTTGACTTTTAACGCTCTCATTCTCAGTTGATTTATTCTTTAAGATATTCAAATATAGAAAGATGATATAAATTAAAATAGATAACTTACTTTGATCTCTTGTATTGATTTCTCCAACTCTTGTATTCTACCTTTATAATTGTTTATCTCAGAGTTCAGGTGTTTCATTGAATCATTCTTATCTTTCACTTGTTCTTCTAATTTTTCATTGATCTCAGTTAGTTCATTTATTCGTGATAAAAGCTTCTCATGTTTCTTAGTGAGCATCTACGATGGCAAAATTGAGAATTAGAATGTATGCTACTTAATGCCTATTAAGTAGTATAAAATATTTTAGTGAAATAGCAATATTTTTGGTGCAAATCATTCCTTGAAATAAAAATACAGGACTGAAGGAGCCAATACGACTCTATATCGAGTTAGACTACGAAATTATTTCAGTCAGGGAAATACTGTAAATTAATAAGGAG